GCAACTATGCTTCACGTTCTATTCAGGAAGATTTGGGAGGAAGAACAAGTGCCAGCGGACTGGAATGAAGGACACCTAATCAAGATACCAAAGAAAATAGATCTGAGAAAATGTGAGAAGTACATAGGCATCACGCTATTGTCAGTACAAGGAAAATTTTTCAACAGTGTTGCTGGAAGGAATGAAAGACGCAGTAGACGCCCAGCTTCGAGATCGACAGGCTGGATTCCGATCGTGCATAGACCAAATCGCGACACTATGGATCATTGTTGAGCAATCAATTGAATGGTGTTCGTCACTATATTTCAACTTCAAAAGACCTCAACATACCCAAGGGAAAAATCAAGATCCTCAAGTACAACATGAAGAACATCAATCCAATCACACCTGATGGAGAAACTCTGGAAGATGTGGAATCTTCCACGTACTCATCTATGCAGCGTCATCGATGAAAGTGGAGGATCTGATGCGGACTTAAAGGCAAGTACTGACAAAGCAACAACAGCCCCCCCTACAATTGAAGAACATATGCAACTCAAAACAACTGCCAACCAACCAACTACCAAAGTCAGAATATTCAATACGGATGTCAAGATAGTCCTACTTTACGGAGCTGAAACCTGGAGAACTATTACAACCATCATCGAAAAAGCACGAGTATTTATAAGCAATTTTCTACGAAGGATGCTCAATGCCTGTTTTCAGGATACCATCAGCAGCATCCTACTGTGAAAGAGAGCAAACCCACTCTCAGCTGAAGAGTAAATTAAGAAAAGGCGTTGAGAGTGGATAGGACACAATGAGAAAATCACCAAACTTCACTACGAGGCAAGCCCTAACTTGAAAGGTATAACTTAAAGAGGAAGACCAAGGAAAAGAAGTTAAGTTATACTTCAAGAACAATTTTACGTGGACCCATAGATCACCATAAAGCATCTCTAGTATGTTAAGCAAATCCAGAGAGAACATGACGTAACGGGTATAAAATTGCCTTCGTACACATCGAGTCTGACTTTCAGCCACTAAGCCCTAGGTTCGAACCTTGCGCCACCCACTTCGTTTGGGGCAATCGGATAATAACATTACCATTCATATTTAGACTGTACCGAAGTATCTGTCAAGTGAATTAACTCAGACTATGTTCCTTATTGCCTACTCAGTAAATAGGCCTTTAAAATCGAGGATTTCTCGATAAAAAGGTAATTTAACGTAAATGTAGTTTTATATAATCTACTGATTATTCAATGCATTCATAATTCATTTGATAAGTAATTTTGGACGTTAGAGAGAATTCGAACTGCGTCTTTTCAGTTAGAATATTTATCCAAGTAAATGGGTTTATCTTCAGTGAATATTCACACATCAAACTATATATTAATCTTGACTGACTTGAATACTAGATACAGACCATACAGTGAATGGATGATGAAGTCATCTTTTGAGATTCCTGCAGAAAACTGGTAGTAGGTATTTTAATCCTTTTTGCCTTGATGTTGAGGGAACTACTTATGATCTTCCGATAGAAATAATGGGTCTGTAAACTGACTTCCTAATTCGACATTTTATACAGTAAGCAATGACGTAATCCTATTCATAATCCACATTGGATAAGTTTCAGAGTCAGAAAATGTAGGATATCCCTTCTTCCTAGGAATTTATATTTATGCACCAATGTTCTAATATATTTCATTAAGGAGCAATTCAGATCTCAACTAATTAATGTAACATTGGTATTATACATTACAATTATCAATAACAAAGAACTAATGAAAAATTGTGCATTTTAAACTCTAGTCTGATTGAGAGTTACATTTTTTTATTAGTAATGACTGCCAAGTTTAGTCCTAGTATAGTATAGTATTTGTATTCGTGATCATTATGTAATACAAAGTTTAGAAATCACTGATTTTAAAATGTATCACATGGTGAGTAAACACCGACGTAATCTTTGTCATAATAACATGAACTTCATATTCATGTGATACAAACATTTCTATAAAAAACAAAAACAATCTTTTTTTAGTTTTTACGATGACTTTAACATAGACTGAAATACTTTTCCTTTCATATTTGAAGAAAACCATCAATAAGCAAGTAATTAATTAGTTAACTTAAGATTTGAATTGTTCAAAATAATTCATTGTACTCAACATCTTTTGAGTGAAAAAATAATGAAACAAGAATATTTCGAAAATAAGTAGTATTATATAAAATTAGAGAGTAAGTGGATTTACAAAAATGATTTTATTATGATAAAAGGTTCAATCATACGATACTTCGTCTGATATGGGCGTATTTTCAAGAAATGAATAAATTCGTGATCATTTTATGTCGATATCAGATAAGCGCTTATTAATGATGCTAACTATATTTATATAAGGATTAAATAAAACATTAATTAATTTAATCTTACACAACATATATATAATATTAGAATAATAAATATGCAAATAAGCGTACATACATAAACTATGTACATAATATTATCACATGATAGTTTGCATATGAAGTCGTAAATTATAACCATCTTATGGTATACAAAAACTGATACATAAAATGATAGAAATATGAAACAATGTTTAAAAATAGCAATATACAATACAGGTGAACAATAAAAATTAACTCCAAAAAGAAAAACACAAAATATATACTCATTCATGATATGAATGTCAATTAAGTTTAATTGTGAATTTAGCAGTAAAATTAATTTAATCCAAATCAGATATAAATGTGTGAAGATAAGTGAACTACAACATTTCAGTTCAGGTTTGAATAAAACCATATATTGTACTGTTGTATAAAAAAATAGGCTGAGAATAGTAGGGTCGAAATACAGTAGGAACTTAAGATATAAAACTCTGGTTTAAAAATTTGTGAAACCTATCTCGACAGAATTCCTACTTAACTCTGTTAGTAGGTTTATAGAAAAGGGCAGAAATTTTAGAACAAAGTGCTTGTTATTTACTGTAAATTACGACAGATTGTTTCTTTATTCAAGTTACTAAAGAATCCTAACATTTACATCACTGTCCTTAATGGACATGGCTTTTCATAGAACTAACAATTAAAATCATGCATCACTCTTAAACTTTCACAGTAACCAATAAATTTTATTTAGATCGATCAAATTTTAGCTTTACGGTATTAAAGATAACCATTTATCACCTTTTAGCTTAGCATTCTTCATTTTTCTTATCTTTCCAAATGCTATAAATACATTTGGACGCAATAAACGAAAGCTTCACTGAGGTTAGAACGAAAACTAATCCACTCTACGAAATAACATTTCAATTATATAAGAATAATTGAATACACAACATAGGCCGTTACGGATACAAGAAATCGAGCAATAAATAGTCATGATGCCTCAAAATCTAATAACGTCTAAAAACTGGTCGCTATACGCTGTTGGAAATTATTCTGAGTCATTCACCAACTACGATTAAAGTGCTACACCCAATTATGAAATCTGGGCCTACCTATCCGTTAAATATGTAGTAACTTCAAGAATTACTGTCATGGTTTCATTTGGCCACACAGATTTTAGAACTTACTCTTACGTTACCAACAAAATAAACTGAAGTAGGCAGACAACTCATATATGCAACACCACGGTTCTGAAATTTTATCATGAACAAGAAGGATTCAAATATCCTGAAACTATTCACATGGTAGGATCCGCTTGGTGAAAGAAAGAGATAAGTCGATAAATTAGGAAGCTTATGTTATTTAATTTAATGTCAATCAGAACCCGATCAATCACCTGTAAGTAACTGATGTTTAGACTAACAACGATTCTTGTATTCAACAGTAAGCAAAATATTAGTTGAGAAGTGTTGTAGTCTGAAGATAAATTCCTGAAAAAAGCCTTTTCGTACGTAAATCAAGAAAAAACGCTACTCACTCATGAGAACGTAATAACGAGTACTACGAGAAAAAATCGCAGCAACCACAGGCTCATATCTATTGCAGATTCTTAACAGCAGTATAGTTCCAATTTTGTTCAGGACAATACAAACGTCATCGGCTGGTGTTGTTCAACAGAAAACTAAACTCCACCTAAATAAGAAAAACTGTTGCAATCCATGCTGTAGAGATACGAAGATGGAAGACATACACATCACAGTGGAGCCAACATCCATTGCTTGCATACAATATTAATAATCCCCCATATAAAAGAGATCATACGCTTATGTTTCTATGCATCAGCGATGACAGTGTATTTGGAAATATGACGAAGGGTGCTGAGTCAAAAACCCCATTAGATCATCCTAATTGTTGTAAATCAGTTGAAGGTTCGAGAGAACAACGCTGCAGTCTAGTGTGGTAGCGGTGTACCAGTGGTAATCTGAATACTTAGCTTTAATTCAAGTAACTCATTCACTAAGTATTTAAATATCAGCCGCAGAGTGTATCGGCGTGATATTATCAGGTTACATAAACCAAAATAGACTGGGCGGGTTCGCACATGGGACTTAGTGACTGAACTTCAAACGCCATAACCACTAAGTTATTGCTCTATTAATTAATAATATCAACCGTCATGTATTAAGCTTGCTTCACGTTAATTTGGTGTAGCTGGACATTAGAAAACAAACCACGTACTAGCAACCAGATAAATGATCCTGAAAGCATAAAGAATTTGACGTGTTTTCTTTTAAAGTAAAGAGTGACGTATCAACCCAACTAAATTTGGCGGTGACGCACTCTTAGGAAAGCTTGTTCAACCCAACAAGCACACATTATGTTCCTTTTATTATAATCTTAACATAAAAACTACACCCCTACCATATTTGAAAGACAACAAATGTTATTTGCCATCTAAATACGAATTAACCGGATAGAACAGTCGTATCAAACACTGAGAAATAATCGACTGGTAAACAGATCAGTAAAAATGTGAATTATTTCAATGAAAATAACGAACGTGCTTAACTATAGCTTTGTGTATTGTTTAACTCATGCTTTTAAATCCCTTCTAAAATGTCTCAAAACGTATCTGTAGTTAAAAAATTGTATTCAATACAAGTGGTTAGTGAACAGAATTTGCAAATAAAGTAATAAATCTGAGAATACCAATCCAGATGTACAAGAACAATACAACTTGAAAACTTAAAAAAGTATGGCATTTACTAGTTGGATAAAGAAATATTAATAATAAGGAAAACCAAATGCAGCACCGTAGGGGTCAGCAAATGGTGTAAAAAGGACGCTAAAATGAACACAGGGCTAAAATATGTTGGAAAAATATAAAACACGAAATAGATGCCTTTTGTAAACGTCCTCTCAATCACAAACGAAACTCAGAAGCTTGAAAGAAGTTTAATAGTGATCTCCATTTGATGACGGTAACCGAAACTGCTCTGGGATATCTAAAAGAATATCTGATCCCGTAAGACTGGGACGAATTTCCTTTGGGAGCCGCTTTTTTAAATCGTAATGCATCAATATGTCTCGAGTTGCTGGGCAAGAATCTTTAAACGAATTTAGGCCATAAATATTCCGAAGATAAATCCATATGTGATTCATATCAAGAGGAATATCGAAATTATGGTATGCTCTGCCTGCAACACGGACATGCTGTAATTTGGGTGCCAATTGACAATCAACATAGGATATCTCATCACCCATAGCATAAGGCTTTGCCGCAGACGCCAGGTAACTATTTAAGCTGGATAATACTGTATAAAGAGACGTTTTATCATCGTACATTATGTACTGCATTAAACTGCTATACAAATCTTCAAAAACTTTCTCAGCTGCTCTGACATCAGACGCCTTTAGGTTGCGATTGAGATCAGGACAACCTAACTTTATTAACAGTGTTTCTAGTGATTCCGTAGAAGAGATAACGAGTCCACTGGCATCCTCGCCATCTATAGTTCCTGATTTGATCCATGAAATAGGGAGATGTCGAGCAGCATTTAGTCGCACATAACTGGCAGGTTGCAAATCCATAGTCATAGGAGTAACCTGTAGCTTTATATAACCTTTCTCAACAAGACAACATAAAGTCATGAGCCACTGTTGGCTGATTAAACAAGCTCCTTTTTCTTTCCGATCTGATAGGGCTGCTTTTAAAAACAACTCCACGAATGGTTTATCACCGTCCGCCATAATAGCACATGGAAGCAAATAAGCTACAGATATAAAAAAGGAAAGCGGTGATATAGGTGATGACATGGTTTCAAATATTCAGAAACTGACTACAGGATGGAGACACATCAACAGGGAACTGCAATGTTGAAAAACGGGTCAATAGAAAAACCACAATGATAAATCTACAGTCAAAATAATGGTCCACCTCAGTGTTTAAGAAGTCCGACGATCTATCCATTGAAAGGACTTGCGAAATTACCGAATCTTCGCCTAAGTACTGATGCGTATTTATTTATTAAAACACAAATATTGGTACCAAAGGGAACCAAATACATATGCGCCACACAAGTCACTTGATTTGTGTGTGGGCTGTGATACATCAGTATCTCGATCCAAATCAACGAATATCAGCAGTGTTTAATGAACTTATATATACGATATTCCTAAGCCGCGACATACGAATTAAACATCTTGCCTCTCTCCCTCTTATTAAACGGAGAAGAGCTAAATGTTTAGCCTGACACATATAGTCGTGGAATGAAGTGCAGTCTCAAGGTACTCGTATTCGTCACAGACTCACTGGATGGTGCCTAAGGGATAGTAAAAAGGTCTTGAGGTATTGTCGGACGTGGTTAGGGATAAAGGTTTTGATTATGCCGTGGTTTGTATTGAGTACGTTACCAATCCTATGACCTCCACTCCGATCAAAACAAATTCGACCATTGTTATGTCTCTACATTAAATATCTCGAATACATCCCATTATTGTTAATTATTTTCCCTCTTCTAATACTTCAACACAATATTAACTCGTTTCGAGAGGAATTACTTTTAGCAACTTAATGTATGAAACGCTTTGTAATGAAATAGAACAGTAGTAACTAGTCAAAAATAACGAACAATGATAAAGTGTACAAATTAGGATTTCAATGCTTGGGAGGATACAAAAGATTTAAGCTAGTAGCAAATTGTGAGTAATCATTCATTTTTTGGCTTCGGAAGTGAAACATAAGTTGCCTTACTCTCTACATTGATCTACGTACCAAACCCATCTACATTCAATAGTACCCTCTCTAAAATTACATTGCAAGAACGATTGTGAAAAGACCATTACTACTGATCATGTGGTCTACGGACATTATTTTTTCAAAACTACATCTTGGCTTCAAAACCGACAAACTGCTGTAACCTGGAGTAGATGACAAGTACCAAATCAGCTTTTAAACACTGAATGGCCACTGAGTACCAACTAATATTGTTTACCTAGCCCTTAGTACAAACAACTGATAAAAGTTGACGAAAAACCTTCCGAACCAATGAACGGACGCCTGATAACCTAGTCTTTCATACATTTGTTAGCTCCAATTATGTCAGACGTTTTCAACATTCCACTACATGTCCAAAAACAAAGAGGTCAGGAAGAATAACCAGCTGGAAGCATAAACACAGATGTGAACAAAGACTTGTGCCAATTTGTGAAACCATAGGTAATTAAATCTGATTACACAATTGAGTCCAACTAGTTAGTCCAACATAGACCCCAGAATTTACTAATTGATATGGCCACAATGAGACTTTTACACAGAACCGTCTAATTCCAGTGAAACCCACTGAAGGACATTACTTGTGGCATTAGAATAACCAAATACTTTTTTGAGTAACCTATGTTAAGAATCATTTTTTCTCCGAGAATGTATTGTATTTGGACGCGAATTAAATTCCTGTCAAAGATCCATCTCGCTAACACTGACAGACCGTAACTACACGAGGAATCTCAGATGTGATTTGTTGCAGACATATTAGCAACGAATAATGATTTATTCTTAGGGTTTTTGGAAACACTTACGTTGTGTTTAGTTTGTGAAATAGCATTCTGTCAATCTTATTACAACAATTTATAGGACGTGCAAATTATACAGGCTAGTAATTACCACTTAACACAAACCACTAGACTTCCGAACATAGATAACAATGAACCAACCTCTTTTGAAACAAACTAACCTCTCTTAAGTCAGTGGCAAGAATTACAACCACCAATTGGAACGTTCAAACAAATTAACACAGCATTACTATGAAAGCTTATACAACATTCACTGATCCCTGTGTTTTTTCATATTGAGATTTTTCGAGGAAAATGTGTACACTACGTGTGACGACAGACAAGTCACATAACTCGATGTGACAAAAAAGTTCAAGGTGTAAGCACATGGTGTTTTTTCAAACTCATGAGGATCCCTTCTTAGGTAGCTGGCCTTGGGTGGAAGTAACATATAATATATAAAAATTCGGAAACAACTAATCCTCAAAGAGTATGCTAATTTTGCTTGTTATGAATGATTAAGACTTTGCACGATCTCTGACTATGAAGATGATATCTAAAATTCACAATTTTGCTTTGATTCTGTGATAAATGGCTTTGATAAAATACCGTTATTGAGTATGCCAAGCCGAACGTTTCAGTTACTGGTTACAGATTGTGGGCCCAGAGAAATGTCATCGACCTTCCCTAATCATCCGTCAGTCAGGTAATCGAAAATCGGGCAATTTACCGATCCCTGTCAAAGTCAAGAATATCCTATGTGCATCAACTAATCGAACGTCATGGATTAGTCCGAGCCATGGCGACCACATTTTGTTCCCTGAACCCAACCTACGAATATATTACTGTGATAACGTCGTTCGTGTCGTACGGTCACCAAAGTAGACACAGGACAGAGATATAGAAAGAAAATAACGAGGTATGAGATTGTTGTACGTTGGTTAGCCACGCGATTCCTACTTACTTCAGAAGAAGACTGCATTATGCAACAAACGTAAGATATTCAAATTATAGTTGCTTCAATTATTACTTCGTGATCAAATATGGTCATCAGTCTAAACGACTTTCGCAGCGTATCCCGAAAAAATCATTTTTATGAGGCTATAAGGTTCTTCACATTGCATTTTAATGCTCGTCTCTTATTCAAACCATGCTACTTGATCAACACAACTTATCATTCACTGAACCAAAATATGTGGTTTTCCTGCTTAAAATCTATGGCTTAAAGATATCCTACGTGTGTGATAGAAGTGAATTTAACCAAGCTACCTCTAGTTTACTGTTAGGGATTAGTCTTCATCTAAGCAAAGTTTATTGGCTGCAGTCTATCCATTCTGATCGTAGGTATGAACTGAATGTATTTATTCGAAACAAAATTACATCCTTCAATTATAAAGGTGTTACGGATCAAAGCGTTGTCATACTTAAAATGGCTGTGGCATTTTTAACTGATAAAGCTGAACGAATGAACGACGGAAACTTGGTAACTGAACTGACTATATCTCCTAGTTTAAGGTTTTCTGATATTGCTTTTAAAGCTGACTACAAGCATATGATGTGGGTTGTCTGCTTTGATTATCTCTTAGGTAAGTCTACGTAGATATAAACTTTTCTTCCAACATTGCAGGCTATATCTCTATTTGAATTGATAGAGTTCTAGGTCGCAAGGGAGGAGGCATAATATTATACGTCAGGGATCACTTTCGTATACAATCAGTCAAATTGGAGGCACATGTTAGTGGTACATGTGAGATAGCATGTCGCACAGTTAAGTCCAGAAACGGGTTAGTGACTATAGGAGGAATGTACCGTAGTCCGTGTTGTCTTGCTTACAACTTTATCTTTGGACACATCTGTTCTTGAAGTAAGGCAGAATGTTGTCTCATCATTGGAGACTTCATAGCGCCGCATATCAACTGGATAGAGCTTACAGCTCCAGGTGACGTTTTCGACAGCGACCTTCTCTCAACCATTATTCAGTGTGCACTTGTTCAATGCATCGCAAAACCGATACATTTTGACTTGGAACATGACATACCACTGTAAGAATGTCACCGACGTTCAGCACCTTCCCTCACAGGTGAATAGTGATCACGTTGTACTGTACGTTAAGTTTGGCACACATGGTCCACAACTGGCATTTGCTCCCCACCCCCATCACAACATATGGCGAGCTAATATTCCGGCAATCAGAGACTGTGCTATGTCGGCTGACTGGTCGGTTAACGTGGATCGATCGATCGTGGACGAGTGGAGTAATTTTTGAGGCTTCATTCGAGTCCGTAACATCATCGTAAATCCCATGGTCAACACGTAAACTATCACACTGCACATCATGGATTATTAAGCAAACCGGTGAGCTGTTGAAGTGTAGGAAGCACTTCTGGGACTTATTCTTGTCAACAGTACACGCATAATTTAAGCGTGAATATAAAGAATCCAGAACATATATAAAAGGCCATAGCTAAATCCCGCACTACTTTCAAACGAAAGTTGGCATATGGTAACCGTACTTGTCCGAAACTATTGTTTTCGTATGTTAAACGGCTAACAAAACGTAGTGATGGTATTACCTCACAACTGTTACACGAAAATTCAGATTTAGTATCTAAGTCAGATTAGGCAAAAGCTGAGACATTTTCAAATTATTTTGACGGAGTCTAACTAACCTCGAACCTTGTAAGATATCTGGCCGTGACGGGTTACGTCATTTCTGTCATTTCTCGCGGACATTATTTCAGGTCCGCTCGCGGCGCTATTCAACTGATCCTTTCACCCGCCCAACTCCCTAGAGTTTGGAAAGACGCTGTAGTCAGTCCTATATTTAAGGATGGTTAGATGCAGATCGTATCTAAATACCGGCCTGTCAGTCTAACTGGCATAGTCGTTAAGCTTCTTGAAAAGATAACTCGGGTTAAGTTACTAAGTCACATAAATTCGCACAATCTGTTGACTCCCGAGCAACATGGGTTTCGTAACAAGCGTCCATGCCTGAATAACTTACTCATTGAGAGATAGGATTGGACAGCAGCCATAGATAACGGCTTGCCTGTCGATGTGCTATTCACAGGTTTTAGCAAAGCATTTGACAAGTTTTCACACTTAGGTCTTATTCAGAAGCTCTTGAGTTTTGGAATGATAGGTGCTGTACATCAATGGATAGTAAACTTCTTATGCGACCACAGACAGAGAGTGAGGGTCAATGGAATGCGATCCAAATGGAAGCCAGCGAAAAGTGGTGTGCCCCAACGTAACATCTTAGGCCTTCTACTTTTTCTTCTTTGCGTAAATGAATTACCACTGTTGCTGAAGTCGTCGACATTATTGTTTGAGGATGGTGTAAAAATCTTGAGAACAATAAGAAGTGAGGCTGATCATTTGGATCTCCAAGCTGACTTAGATCAACTAGTTGGATGGGCTAGAGGCTGAGGCTTATTTAATTCTAGGAAGAGTGTGGTCATGCACATCGGACGCGATAATATTTACAATTATACTATTGATGGCACATCTCTTCCACGCGTTCAAGAAAATATCGACTTAAGAGTAATAATAAGTCTTGACTTGAAAACAACTACGCACTGCAACGCAGCTGCTGTCAAAGGTTTCCGTGGGTATAGTCACTTTGCCTAGCATTCAAATGCTTTGACGAGGAAATGTTTCGAATTTTATATCCCACCTATGTAAGACCACACTTAGAGCACTGTATCCAAACACCTAGCCCGTGTCTGATAAAGTATATTAACCCACTCGAGCGTGTTCAGCATGTAGGAAAAAATTAATGAAAGGTCTTTCTAAACTCCCTTACAATGAGTGCTTAAAACGCCCAAACCTTTTCCCCTTGTCGTATAGTAGGACGTGAGGTGACCTTATACTTGCATTTCGTATCTTTAATTATGATTTGGGTGTTAATGTGTCTTATCGTTTTGCTCCTTCCAGCACTAATAATCTCCGAGGTCATAGAAAAAAGGTTCACAAGTCACGATCTAATAAACTTAAAGTGGGGTCCCGTTCTGTCCATCAAGTAGCCAATGACTGGAACTCCTTACTCGAAAGTGGTATCAGCGCAATCAGTGAATATTTTTAAGAAGAAGCTGTGCCTTCACTCAAAGGCAATCTGTCAGGATTAAAATAGGTTCATTATTCTACCATCCTCATTACTGAAGACTGAAGACAGTGCATATCTTAATTCAAGAAACGGTAAAATAACCCTAGTGGGCTTTCACCTAAGACGTCAGTAAAATGTTCAGACTAGTTAAATAGTTTCATAGTAATTATTGGTATTAAGATGCCTTTTTGAACAGGCTTAAGGTCTCAAGAAGGTTTTTCGCATTTCTGTAGCCTCGTTTTATCTCCAATCAAGCAAATGTTAAAATTTATCACTTCCTAGGTCATTTATGCACGGCACTACTTTGACGTTTGTTAGTTGTTAGCATATATGATCTGTCTGCTTTATTTCATTACAAGTAAAAAGCCTTATATGCCCATCCTAGGAAGGAAACCAGTCTTCAACAAAGCAGGATGATATTTCATCCAATACATTATTCAGTAACGATCATGAGATCACCTACTCATGGTCTTGGTTTAGGCATTTCTGGTGTACGATCTTCTAGGAACTCAAAAACAAAATTCATAGTTTCAGACGTTATAACAAACGGCCCAGCCTATGAAAAGGTCAGGTATGCTGTTGAACACGTTTTCTAATGTACGTTTAGCAAAAACGATGAACTGGTTAGTGTTAATGGAATAAACTTGGATTGCCTGCGATATTCTGAAGCCATCCAGATTCTGCGTGAATGCGGTGATGAAGCTGAGTTAAAGCTGTTAAGTCGCAAAGGACAGGTCAACTACCACAATTTGCCACTTGCTTCAGAAAAAGACTGCATTATGCAACAAACGTAAGATATTCAAATTATAGTTGCTTCAATTATTACTTCGTGATCAAATATGGTCATCAGTCTAAACGACTTTCGCAGCGTATCCCGAAAAAATCATTTTTATGAGGCTATAAGGTTCTTCACATTGCATTTTAATGCTCGTCTCTTATTCAAACCATGCTACTTGATCAACACAACTTATCATTCACTGAACCAAAATATGTGGTTTTCCTGCTCAAAATCTATAGCTTAAAGATATCCTACGTGTGTGATAGAAGTGAATTTAACCAAGCTACCTCTAGTT